CAAACAAAATTTTCTTTATTTTTCAATTTTCATGTTGAACACTGTGTGTTACATAAAGAGATATATTGATTTTATTCAAATTTATGACTTTTTTATTAAATTTTTCATTGAACAATGAGTGAAAATGCTTATTAATTGGTATTTTATATATTCAATTATCTCTATTTTGTTTGAAAAAAAAATGAATTAAATGAAGTATTAAATTAAGTGAATTTGACTCTAGACTCTAATTTGGTCATGTGAAATCCACCAACAAAAATCAGCAAGCATTGAGTCCAATCGTTTTCCTGCAAAGCGGTTTTCAAATTCCATGATGGTCTGATGGAACCATTCGCCCGGCTCATCTGATTCGGTTGGCTTTTGCATATCGAGAAACTCGTAATGAGCATGAAGAACATGTATTTTCAACGACATGTGGACATCTAGTTGTTTGAATGAATCCATCATATCGTCTAGCAGAACGCGATAATTCTCGGTCCGATTGTTACCCAAAACATCATTTAGAACGGCTTTGATTGAGTCCCACGCAATGGCTTGATGTCGGCTCAAGCATTCAACAAATCGTTCATCTTTAAGCAATTTTCTGATATCGGGTCCATTCAGTACGCCTATGAACATTTAACAATCATTTTTTCAAGTGTTCACAATATTAATTTTATGTAATGTATAAATTTCATTTACCTTCAGTGATTTTCCCAACAGTTAGTTTCGGGAATACATTGTCCTTTAGGTGGTTAAATGCGGTAATGTTTGTGGCAACCAACGTTTTGATGAAACTTTTCACAATACCTAATTTTATATGCAAATTTGGAATCATAACTTTTGATCGTTCAATGATTGGTTTACGAACAATGCTGTAGTAACCAACTCGTCCACGCTCGGTCCGCAATGGCCAATTTTTTTTATCATAATGATTTCCACCCTTCCATCTACTGTCCCATTTACAAAAGGGGCAACAGTATTTACAATATGCTTTATTGAGTCCAGTTAACAAAGCAAGTACTTTGAAATCACAATTGACACGCCACATGTGTTCATTGTAGTTGACTGAGTTTATGATCATTTCCATCGAATCATCAGTTTCTTTCGTGCCGACTCCGTAAAAAATTGGTACTGGTTTTATAGTACTGTTCTCATATAGCAAGACAGCCTTCAAACTTCTTTTTGATGAGTCAATAAAAATGCGCCATTTTTCTTTTTTATATTTTACACCAATTGCATTCATCAAACCAACGATATCGTGACAAAATGTGTATGTGCCGTCTTCAGAGAGTGTGTAATACGGCAAAAATGGTTCTTGTCGATGTCGATATTCTGTCACTTTTACACCAGGAGCCAATACATGAACGCTTCTCAATTCAGAAGCCAATGTCATTGCATTATTTTGCGACAAATGCAATTTCCGAACAATACGATCCAAATGTTCTTGTGAAATCAATGACGGAAAACAAAAAGCCGGAGGTTGAACGTAGTCTGGATCAGCAGGATCAGTTGGTTCCGATGGTGGTAGATAGCTTACCGAAGCCGTAGAAAAGTCGATTTGTGTTGGATGTTGGGGAACTGGATGTTCATCATCATGTGGTGTTGGAACCATTGCACTGGCTACACCTTGATAAATCCATTTCTTTGCCTTAATTCGATTGATGCCATACATATCATTTGCGCAAACGTAACAATTTTCTTGACGATGTGTGCCGGGATCGGACCATTCCATTGGCGTTGCAAAATGTAACGAAAACGAGTTTTTTTTCCACCATCGTTCCAAAGAACTAATGCACGCAGGGCAAGTAAACTCAGGGGCCCACGAAACGTTTCTAAATACCGATTTACCGAAGTAGAATAGAACCGGTCAAATGTCGTCTGTTTTCTTTCACAGTATATTTTCCGCACACGTAACAAAACATATCCAATTTTTCACGGTGTTTACTTTCTGAATCTGCCATTTTTATTGTTTTTATTTAAACTTGTAATCGAAAATATGTTGGGAATTATGCGTTTCACCGTATATCTATCCAATCGAGAATATTCAACCAAACATATTTGACAACTAAAATGTCATATTGGAATGAATGCCTCATAAACGCACTGTATATGTAACGCCTCCAACCGGAATTTTTTGTTACTAAATTCAAATAGGAATTTCGTTAAAAAACATAGAATGAAACTCATTGTTAAATGAAAAATAGAATAATAATCATAAAATTCAGTAGGTTTCTGTTTATGATATGAAAAATAAAGAAAATTTTGTTTGAACGCAATACTTTTT